TATTTTCAAATATAATTGTACAAAGTTTTATTTAAATATTTTGACATCTTAAAAAAGTAAATCAGAGCTAAAAAAGTACAAAAACGCAGACAAATTTGACTGTGTTTTACTACAATCTAAGGGATATATGACTTCCTCTTTTGGTATCTCATAAGAGGCCTTGTAACTATTAAAGTTACTTTCAAATTGGTTAGATCACTAGTCTTCCTATTTCAAGCATTATTCCAGCTATTATAAATTTCACATTATGTGTTAATATAGTGTAGGGCTTATGCTCAACAAAGTATTGTTTTGCAGATAAGGCAGTGCTATAGCTGTACAACTAGAGTTATAGTTCAATTAAAGTCATATATATTGCCAATTCTTGATAACAGGTACTCCTGTGTGTTGGTGTTATATAAAAGTATGGGAATAATTGTAACAAAATTACTTCTAATAGTGTTTTTCATAAAACAGATCTTCAAAGTTGTTGGAGCTAACTCCAAACATATTTGGTGTTTTTACTGTCTAATGTTTTAAATTATAAGGCTTTTAAAGGTATAAACCTAATTAGGACTTGCATTCTGTATCACTTCCAAATTAGTTGCTTGGTGTTTCAGTATTGGTGTTTTTTCTCTCTTTTGTGTATTGCTACACTACCAGCTTAGCGCTTCTAGCTAGAGGTCTGCATTGGGTCCCAAAGCCCAGCCCGGCCCAGTGTGCAGGCCTGAGCAGGCCTAAAAAAAATTTTTATAATTATAGGCCAGGCCAGGCTGAAATTTTGAAAAAAATTTATATTAATTCGTGATCCATATGCAAATCAGTGAAAATTATTAAGATCACGCAGGAAGAAATTTCACGAATTAATAAGAAAAAGCTAGTAATCGGTCTTTTTTAGCAATTAAGTAACATTAGAAAAACACGACTTTTGTTGTTATATTACACAACAGAAACCATGATATAATGCCAAAAAATTCTTTTTTTAACTTGCTTATTATATTTTATTGTGAGTTTTACTAGTTATTGAGCTCCAAAGCCAGATTCCTGGCAAAAAAACTACATACAAAATTATAATTTTAAAACTACATTTTAAAATTTCATTATTTTAGCTAATTTGATTTTCTTGCCGCGGCCTCTTGCTTGTGTTCTCAGCGTAACGACCAATCCAATTTTGAATCATAGCAACTTTAGGTATTTCTTCTACTTTAATTTCACCTTCTTGTGCATGTTGAACAAGTTCATCGTGCATATCTTGTACTGTATATCTATTGTTTTTATTTATATTTTCTGCTAAAAAATACCCTTCTAATAGCGCTCTAATTTCAGGTGATGTGCCCTTTCGTTCAAACTTTTGATTTGCTTTAAGAGCCCAACCCGAATTTAGAGAAAACTTGTCCACTTCAAAAATATGACGATTCTCTTTGTTAGATATACTATTTGTTTGGTTATGAGCTATAGAAAACAATAATTCAATTATTTATCATGTTCAAAACCATGTCGACAACGATATACCTATTTTTGCCTTCTTCGTATCTTCCACCAATTGGTTTTCTAGTAAATTTATCAATTGATCTTTATTTTCTTTATTATTGAACCTAAAGTTTCGTTTTTCTAATTCTTTCACTAGACTTTCTCTTGTAAGACGACTCGGAATAAGACCTTGACAATAAAAAAGCCTAGTTATTACTGAATATAATAAATTTGAACAGTATTAAGGACATACGTGATGAATTCGGCATTAGCATTTCCCATTCTGATGAAGATGTAGTATGTGTCAATACTTGTGGTGTAGGCTTATGAATGTCTTTTTTGCGAAATTTATCTAATTCTGCTATAGTAAAAATTTTCCATTCACCTATACCAGGAATATCCCATGCTTTAATACATCTGGAAAATTCGCCCGTTGTTGGCCATTGCCACTCAAACCAGTTAGAATTTCCAGGTAATGTATTATTACCACTACCTCTGTCCCAAATAGGATTCAGATTTGCAACAGAAGTCCCTTTAATTCCTTTGATCGCATTTTCAATATCCTGTTCTACTGTTACATCAAAGCCTAAACGAATATATCGATTGATTGCATGTAATATCTAATTCGTTATAATAATAAAAAAAAAAAAAAAGTCAATATATGAGTGTAGGTAATATGAATAATTTACTAGCAGTCATCGTACCTGTGCATGATGAGAATCGATTGTAGTTTTTGCTTCTCCTGCTTTCAAAAAGATCCATCTGCTTATATTAATTTTATACCATTCTGGCCAATATCCCATTATCATCATTAGATCAGCATTATAGTAACGACCCCATTATCTGACATTATTATCACTGATTCAGGTTTTGGATCTAATGTTTCAATTACTGCATGAAGTGAAGATGCTATGAACTACAGATCTTGACATGAATTCATGGACCAATGATCAAATGCTTGAATTCGTAATTTTGTTGAGTTGGATTGTGTAGTATATACAAGGACTGAGTGAAGAGACCAGCCTTTTTTGCCAAACCAATCTTGTTTAGTTTCACGTGCTGTTTTAGGTAGTATTTTCATTTTGTAGTCGACTAGTATTAAAGCGGTTTTTTTATTCAGATTTAACAAGTTTGCATTTAATTGAGCGTTTAAATACGCCTTTCTTGTCTGATAAGCCAAGTAATAGAGCAAATGATCGTACAAATCATCCAACTCTTCGTAAATTGAAACACTAATATTATTACATAACATATCAAAAAATTGAAAAAAAGTATAACAGTCATTACAAGTTTGAGTATGAGGTTCGTTACACTGTCCGAATGCATATAAAAGACAATGATTAATACAAGTATCATGGAATGTTGTTCCTTGTGGAGTAATATGGAAATGTTGTTCATAATCCCATTTGAGAAAACACTTCAATTTTTCACATTCCAACGATAATTGTCTCTGTAATAACAAATATAGTATATATTAGCTATTATCTATGATGTAATATTTATTTTAATACTTATCATTATAATTTCCCACGAGATCATACCATGACTGGGAATCTTCCATAGGAAGATTTCTAGTTACAAATAATCATATGAAAAATTATAATAAAGGTAGGCATAAATTCATACAGGAAATTCCTAGTCGGAATGTATCGAAATCCTGGTTGGCAGGGCCAGAAATGATCAAATTTGCCCAGGATTACTAAATTTTTACTAATGAAATCATAGCCGTTTATTAAGTGAAAAGTGCACAGCTAATAATTTTGTTATAAAATCTACAAACCACTAGGGCTAAATGCCAACCTAAATCTGACCAGGAATTTTTAGGATTGTTCTGTAAAAATTAATAACATGAGTTAGGGATATTGATGGCATCTTGGAACATCGACATTCCCAAGTTTCAATATTGGCCAATCAGGATCCTACACTATATAAGTTGAATTTCATGCCTAATCATATAATACAGATAACCCTTCGGGCCATTTGTATTTTATAATCATCGGGAATTTCGCTATAATTTTTTCACAGAAAATTAATAATACTACCAGACTTAATTATATGAATTACATGTTCTACTACATGTTTTTGAATTAGTGAGATAATATCTGAAAATATTTCATAACTATATTGTGAACACGTATGGTATAATCTACCCAAATCTTCTTGATATATATATCTATTTCCCTCCAACCTAGTGTAAAAACTAGTACGGCGCATTCTATTCGGGTATTATTCATGAAATTTGTTCCACAGTATATCTTTTGAATTTTTCAGATAATACAGTCCACTCTTTCTATAATGAACCCTCGGTTCTGGCCAAAAAAAAAGTTCATTATATAGAATTACTATGTTTTCTTAATAGCCGTAGCTCTTGTTATACCGAACTAATATTAAAATTTAAAAAATTTGGGTTCATTATATCCAGAGTTCGTTATAAAAAGGTTCATTATATCCAGAGTTGACTGTATACTAGTTTATTTGTAATAGGGTCAGTTTTATATGAGCTCATTACGATATTAGCTTTGTCTATTAAAAAAGATTGTAATTGTGCATTTTTTTCTGACGACATTTTTTCATGTCTAATTACAGGTTTGTTAGTAACTAATTCTCCAGGCCCATAAATGCGTGCATGCTTTCATGCAGCACGAATTAAATCATTCGAAATCTAAAAAAAATAGTAAGCTTAAAAGGGGAAGTAGAAATTGGTATAGTAGTAATAAGTTCAAACAGGCTACTTACACCTAAGTTTTTTTTAATAACTTCATAGTTAAAATCATTAGCAATTATAGATAATACCTGTCGATACCCATCTATGCCACATTTATTAATTTCCAAAGAATTGTAAAAAGAATTCCAAAAAGCATTCATAAAGAAGTATAAGAGAACTGATGTAACAAATCCAAGATCGTATAATGTAAACAAAGAACTTCTATCACTATCCGGAGTAATGGACTGAGACCAAAACTCGAACTATAGAAATCGATTCACACCAATTAAATATACATATAAATTGTAAAATTTATTAAAACGGCTACTTACTTTTGACTAATCTTTTTCATATGGGGTAATATCAGAACAACCAACATTTTTTAGCATTGCTTTCCAGGCTCAAAATTTCTGATCTCCAATTTTATATTCTATTAGGTAGATTAGCTGCAGGGCCGACCTTAATTCAATAATTGTATTTGGTTGTTTTAACCAATTGCAAAAAAATTGACACCAATTTATATTCGCTATTATATAATGTTTAAGGTGGTAATTGTAAATATTAGTCATTATTTCTTTGTTATTTCATTCATTCAAAGTACAACACAGGATTTGAGCTGCTTGTATAAGGTTTTTTGTGTATTGATTAGTTAATCCAAAAAGTTGATTTCTATTATATTGCCATAGGATTCCAATTTTTGACCAAACTAAATCCAGATTTTGTTCAATAAAGTCTATACATGCATTGCATTCATAGTAAATTGTTACTCTGCAGTGATTTTTATCAATTTCTTGAAAAAACAAAGCCCGACTTTTATTATATTGATATATGAAGGCTGATTTAAATCCGGGGCCTGCTAAATTAGTTGTAATTTCATTAGAGCCAATTCTTACTATCCAAATTCGAAGGATCCCAAGTTGAAAATTATAAGGGTGAAAGAGTAAATCTGATAATAATTCATCTGTAATAATTGTTTTATCAAATCCTAGAACTTCTGGACCTGAAAATTTTGTTTTGGTTTTGAAAAGTTGATGATATACAGAAGAAATAGCTACTGTTGCTGTTTCGCATATATCACTTTGAATCTCACCACATTTACAAATATATCCGGGGTATGGACCAAAAGCAGAATTAGATTGAACTACTTCAGTAATAAATTCACACGCTTTTAATATGACTAATATTTGAAATATAATCGAATAGGGTATAGCTGAATTATTTCATTCGCTTTATCAATGGGCCATGGAAGCTACCAATTATGGCAAAATGCAAGCCTTCATCCCAAATACCGTGAGAAAGTAATAAAATTGTATATTCTTTGTGTTTGGGCATGTAAAAAAAAAAATATATCTAGTAAACTTTAGTAGATTCTAATATATGTTCAAACCTTTAAGTTAATTATCCTTGCACTTTAATATTAAAATTCACTGATCTGCATGCGGATCACGAATTAAAAATTAGTGAGCCAGGCTTGACAAAAAATTTTTAATTGCAGGTGGGTCTGGGCTGGCAAAAAATTTGTAACCCTAATTGTGGGCCAGGCCTGGGCCTTAAAATTAGAAATTTGCAGGGCTCTATTTTTAGCTATTTTGAATTATTACACATACCCCAAGTCTCAGCTGATTCTCTATAGAAGTTTGTTCTTTTCCAAATCAAGTAAGTAGTATATGCCAGAGGTGTTTCAAATCTGATAAGGCCAATTCTTTACCACAGGTCCCTTTGTGTTTACCACATTTCTTACCACTTTCTGATTCTAGTTATCTTCCAGTTATTCTTAAAAACAAGATCTTCAATACTGCCTTAGAGATTATTGGTACTATCTTGCCAATCACAAATTTATATGCACAACCTTTGTATAATAGAACCTTTTATAATGACCACCATTATACATAGTGCCAACTACTTCACAATGGACCTCCTTCCGGAAATTCCTAATTCAACCTGTATTTACTTTGACTTCTTATAGCAGATACTTTCAAATATTCATAGGTAAACGTACCTACTAGGACTTGAACCTGAAACTTGCTTGTGGAGAGTTGGGTGCCTAAACCACTAGACTGTGAAATCTCAACCCCTAGATAAAATATATACTTATTGTATTATATGATCCTATAACATCTAATATTGCATGTGACTACTATGAGATTACTAATAATAGTAGATCTCCTACAAAAATTTTTACCCCTATGTACTTTGTGCTATATTTTTCATTATGTTTCGTTCTGATCACATTTATCTATTGTTTACAATCAATTAAACCTTTTTTTTTGTTCTTTTTTTATTTTTTTTGATACTTTTTACATTGTTCTTTTGACCTTTATGTTGCTCTTTTAGTAATTTTTACATCGTTCTTTTGGTGCTTTTTACATCATTCTTTTGGTATGTTTTGTTATTTTTTTACATGTTTTTTTAATACTTTTTATATCATTTTTTGGTGCTTTCTTTCAATACTTTTTATGTCATTTATTTAGCACTTTTATATTGTTGCTTCAGTACTTCTTTTGTTGCTCTTTTAGTAACTTTTACATCATTTTTTGAGCTCTTTTCACCATTTTTTTAGCATGTTTTTTTATGCTTTTTTTGCTGTTTTTATTAGCATGTTCTGTGCTTTTTATGTGTTTTTTTCTTGGTGCTTTTTATATCATTTTTTTATTGTTTCTTCTACTTTTAGGTCTTCGATACTTTGTTTCAATACATTTTTAAGCATGTTTTATATATTGTTTCTTTGTTGTTTTTATATTATTTTTTTATGCCTTTTACATCATTTTTGTGATGTTTTTTGTGGTGTTTTTTTAGCACCTTTTTATGTTGTTTCTTCAGTCATTGTTCTTTTTTTTAATAAATAAATTTAGAAATAAAATATGTTTGTTGTATTGAATAAATTTGTATATAAAGTTTTTTTATAAAATAAATTAACATTAATGTGAATGTTCACCTTAATGTTAATATTAATGTTAATGTGAACATTTACTTTAACATTAATATTAATATTAATATGAATGTTCACCTTAATGTTAATATTAACATTAATGTAAATGTTCATCTTAATGGTTTTAACATTAATATTAATGTTAATATAAACATTTGTCTTAACAGTCTTAACATTAATATTAATGTTAATGTAAACGTTCATCTTAATATTAATATTAATGTTAATATTAATATTAATGTGAATGTTAAGACAAATGTTTACATTAACATTAATATTAATGTTAAGACTGTTAAGACAAACGTTTACATTAACATTAATATTAATATTAAGACTATTGTTATAGAACGAATTTATTATTAGTTTATTATTTTATTATTTATTATTTATTAATTATCTTAGAATATTATT